AAAAAAAACGAGAAAGACGAAAACTAAAAAAACAAACTAAGAAGGCATTTGAAGATGATACATGCTGTGTATACTTAATATATGATTGCGTCGAAGAAGTGTGAAGATTGTGCGCCATTCATCGTTTCCTCAAGGACCTGGATTACAGTGGATTTATCACGCGCCATTTGAATCAACGGTGTCTCGCGTGCTGATTCAATTCGCTTCGTGATGCCGCAGCAGCTGCACACCATTTTCGTTTCGTAAGATTCACAGTGAACTTCGTTCGGGACGATGTGGAGCGATTGCTCGTAATACGCGCATAAAACGCGCATTAGAACGTTGATGACTGTTTATTGCTACGGCGATTATTATCCATAACCATTATTATCCAAAGTTTGATTTTGCTTCGTTTATACTTGTACTTGATAAGTCGATTGTGGTAACGAGCATATTAATGTATTCGCTCCAAATTTGTGCAAGTGGGGTATCCTATTGTAAAAGAATTTTGCGACTATATGATGAACATGTAATAATTCTTCTTCGTTATTACTTTAGTAACCTTCCATAATTTTAACAAAGAGGCACTAATTATAATGTCAATATCTCGGATTATGTTTGTACGTTATTTTCACGCGAGGAATGTGTCTGCGTGCATTCGCCAATTAATGAGGTGGCATAGTAGTGTCGGGAAAAATATATTTGCAAGTAACGGAAATAACGACTTTAAGTATATGTATATTTTCCTGTGAAAATATGTATTAGAAAATAATTATTTGCAAATATATTTCAGCCAATGTTGGGACGTACAGGCTTCAGTTGCAAATCAAGGCGAATGCAGTGTAGCCATGATTATAGCTAAGATTATAGTCAGATTGCTTTACATTAACACTGACGATATACTATTAAAGACCATCAGATTTGGATCAATTACGAAAATAATTTCGTAATTGAAGAGAGTATAGATATCGATACTGCATCTACAGCGATGATTTATTTGTATATATATGCTTCATAAATAAGCGTATTTTTGTTGCAACGCAATAATATGATGCTGTGAAATTACATTTCTATTCCGTAGTTATTATTTACATGAATATTCAAACACGGATGACAATAGAAATGCAATTTTGAATAAAAACCTAATATTTCGTTATAATTATATGTGCGTATATCGCTGAAACATCAGGATAAAAGTCAATATTACACTATGAACTAGTCCTCCAAATTTTATCAACCGAGCGAACTTCGGTCCTGTGATCACTGTCGGTCTTTAATAGTACATTGTTAGTGGCATTAATTATTGACTTCTCCGTAATTTTTGTATGAAAGTGTATCGTTACTTTCACAAGAATTTCATTCGATCCGGAGTGGTATTTCGAATTGTGAGTTTTATTTTTATATCTGCACAGATATACTTTTATTTAGAGAGTATTATAAAATGCTTTTATTGGAGTTGATTTCTCACGAGGAAAAAAATTACTACATGATTATATATTCACTCGTACGATTCTGAAATTCTAAACTGATGTTTCTTGTCTAAATATCTTGATGTTTAATAAAATGGCAAGCGTATAGATTTTGCTATCGTAAAATATTATGAAATTGTAATATTTAGCTGCAAGGCTGTAAAACGAAGGATTGTGTTTTATTTGGAAAAATATTGCATTTTTACTTTGGAAACACGATATATGAACACTTATGTCCAATCCTTTGACTTAAACGTTATTCGCTATGATTTTTAGTTTTAGTTATTATAATCGAGTGCAATATGGCTGAGCCGCTAATTTTGTTTAAGGAGGCAGAGACAACTGCAAACGAATACCACTGTTACCGGATCCGGTAAACCGGCAGATAAACAAATAGTAAACTGATGTATGTGTGAGTAGAGTTTCACGCGTTACCGAGAGCAAATATTCACGTTTTAAGTTTCGTTATTAAGTTTAACTAATGATTATCTTTTTTACCATCTATCACGAGAAGGGGGGAACACTATCACTGTAGCGATCATCCTGTAAGGCCATGTATTTCGTATTTTACCGTTAAGCTAAAAGTAAAGAGAGATAAATAAGTGCGACAGCGCGGTAGACGATTACGCGCGTATACCGAGTCCCGTGTGAAATTTCAATCGGGTTTCAGTGTTTGGACATGCGGAGCGATATAAGAACGTAGATAAAATCGCGTCTGATCGATCATCGCGCCGTCGCGTTTGCGTTAAATATATAATTATGTATAATATTAATAGTACCTATCAAATAGGCATTATATAAAGATGACGACAAATTTATTAACGCGCGTTTGGGTGGGCGTCACGCGTGACCCGCGTGCGACGAAAGTTCGCAAGTCGGTAGAAATCTAGATTATATTATATATAATGAATATATTATACTATAAGCATATTGAGAAATACAGTTTAGATATCATATGTACTATTTAAAGTAACGAAACAGTGAAAAACTTGAGTGTACTGCAGGGTCATCTTATATATGAAATACCGTGCGGAATTTACCTACATTATGCGTAGACCTTTGTTATATTCTCGGGAAAAAAAAATAAGAAAGATAGGTGAGGGCGCGGTAATAGATAAGCATAGATAAAGAGAGAAAAGAGAGGACACGCGAGTCATCGCGGAACTTATACACTTATACATGGGATGGACAAATATATATGTATAATATATATACTGCTCTCGTGCTTATATACATTATGTATATATACTCTGTAACATACACAAGTGAGGCAATCGCCGGGGGGGAAAAACGACCAGAGCCATTTTTTTTCCCTCGGATGGGGGGGAAACCATAACTCCGACGAGACACATACGTGTAAAGTGTAAAGAAAGAGAGAAGGATGGAAGAAGAAGCAACAATTCCTCTGCAATTGACCTATGCATCCCGCGCGACGACATTGCTAAGAAGAATATGTAACAAGGAATAAATAGAAATAATGTTTATATGAATTATTATGATTATTAATAATGATACTATCATACGTTACGAGGATAAAAACTAAGAGTTGATTCATGCTTTTAAGAGGTTTAGTTTCGTGCTTGTTTAAAGATAAAGATGAAGATTAACGGCAAGCAGTCAGGATCCAAGCGTTCGACGTTTTGGGTCGAAGCGAGTTCGCGCGTTCGCACACAATGCCCCGGTGATCTGGGCATCGTCGTTCCCCGTCGTCCTTCGTCGCGACGTTACGTTGCACCTTAGAAGTCGCAGCGCAACAACCATGCAACGTACGAACGTAGTTTAACGGCCGGCGCTTCGGCTCAGAGCGAGAAAAACGTGGTGAGGGAAAAAAAGATTAAAAAAAAAAATATTATTTACTTTAGATAGAACAAAAATATGTATAGAATTTTATTATGCACCATTGTAATATTATGTATCCCAGTTGTGACACAATATACACTGGTGTTATGTTAAATGTGGAAATTACGCGTACCAATCTTCTTTTGTTTGTGTGTTTCCCCAGTGCTGTCTCATCGTACTAACGACACTCGATATTCCATCAAATTAACAAACTGTGGTTTTTTTCGTCTGTCATGCGTCGATGCGAGTAAAAGTTCGTCAAGTTCGTTCACGTCGTTTTTGTACAAGACGCGGTAGAAAAGATATGATACTTGTCATATAGAAAAAGGTGCGACGTGTGTGTGTTGTTACCTACTTTAAGAAAAAAACCTACGTCAAGTCCTACACATCATTCTCTATAAGGAGGCTATTGCGATCGCTTTTCTTAAACATGTAACACTGCTGGAAAGACGAATTCCACAGCGCTGTGTAAGTAACGGGGTAGTTGTAGATCAGACTCCGTTCCTCCTCCTCTTTTGTCCTAAATTCGTGCGAATTCTTACGAGCTACGCAAGAAAGAAAAATCCGATGTTATCTCTTCTCCGCGCGAAACAAAATTCAGTCAAGTCCAATTGTCACTTACTCTCGTTAACGAAGAAATTGGCGAAGTATTGAGATGCTACGGTAGCACTGGTCCCGTGAGGAATATTCTTCCCGGTCACCCATTCGTAAAGGTTCTTCTCCGGATGGAATTGCAATCCATAAAACGGGAATTGCCTGTGCTCCAGCGTGGAGATGAATTCCAAACCCTCTCTATCGCGATTCAGCGACAACACGTGAAATTCGTCGGTTAAATTGACACGGTGTAAATCCTGAGAAGCGGAAAACGGTATATGCACGTTAACTTAATACCATATTGATCCTTTATAGAATTAACAATTTATATTACACGATTGCTTTTCTTCATTCGCGTTTTCTCAACTAATAATTTCTAAGGAAAATGCTTGCCTTCCTCGTAACGCAATAACGATGATAATTCGCCGTGACGTACTCCTCGGCCAAGATCCCCAAGACATCCGGCGGAGCGTTCTTAAACAAATTGCTTTCTCTAAAGTCTGAAAAAGAGAAAACTTTTACATTTCTTGAAGAAACGGGTTTTTAAGCAGCTTTCGTTAAAGATATAACATTATAATCCGGAAAGAATCCACGGATATTTTATGCGCAAAGATAAAAATGACAGAAAGGATAAAAAAAATTCGGGACAATAAATAGCGTAAGAGAATATGTGATTTCTGATATATCTCGAAGGAAGTGTTTACCATCTGTGAATTCTAGCGGAAGGGGCTGATTTTTACTGGAACAATTCGATCTGTGCTCGACGCGATTCGCCGCGGCATACGTCAAGAGCTCGAAGCCGAGGCAGATACCAAATATCGGGAAGTACTCGCCTCTCGCGTTGATCTCCTTCGCGATTCTATCAACAAAACAGATAGGAAAATGTATAATCGAATAACTGAAGTCGCTTTCGGTCTTTTATTTTGTAGCGACCTGTAAATCACAACGCCCGCATCGGCATATCCTTCCTTCTGAAAGAAATACGTCGAACCTCCCGGCCAGAGAACTCTAGAAAAATATGCGCATTTAGAAAATGATTATGCGTACGTAACGCAGCGAAATGTGTTAAAACTGATAGAATACTGCGTACCCGTTGACTTTGCTCAGGATATCTTCATAGTACGAATCGTTTCTGCCAATCCTACAAAGTTACGTCATGTTTTGATCCATATGTATCCATGAATTAAATCTGATAATACCGAGGCATCTTTTATATCTATGAATTATATTAATCTAAACCGAGATACTTTCTGCAACTATTTGTACGTAAGAGATTTAAGAAATGTTTGTATTATACCAAAGACTCGTTCGATAAGCATTACTTGCTTAATTTCGAGGCTCATTAAATTATTTTATTCATTATTTGTGACGAATTCATAACATGTCCTGTTCTAAATAATGTAGTTTTGTTACGAAGAAGTTGATTATTTTTTCAAGTTGGATTACAGGGAGAAGAGCATTTAAGCTGATCAAGTCGATGATCGAGGATAATGACAGAAATATTTGTGATTACCAAATCGGGACGGGTCGAGCGCCGGCACCCTCCACGAACTTCACGTACGACGCGGCGATGTAGCTGTGATACTGATTGGGAAACTTCTCATTTAATTTATAATGTATCTCCTGCGTCAGAATACCTTGAAGGAACAAACAATATTATTTTAGCGCGAAAGATATATAAAATAAAAAATACTCTTTCTCTCTCTCAATTCTCTCTCTTTATTTTTGGTTGAATATAAAGATCAGACTATAAATCGCCTCTTTTTAATTTAACGTTACTAAAAAAAAAATGAAAGGTACTATAATTAATATATTTTAAAAAGTTTCATGTTATCATTACGATTCTTAGATTAACTGGAGTTTAATAAATCCCAATTCGGTAATCATGTATATTACATGTTTTCTCTTCATTAACGGCAGATTAATGAGAATAATCTGCCATTAATTAGATAAATGAGATTAATGAAATGAAATATATATATGCAAACGGAGATTGCCGATTGGTTCACACATGGGCGTGGACAGTCCTTTTCTTGATGAGTTTCGGAATGTAAGAAAGTCGAAAGTTATCTCGCTGATAGTACAGATTTTTATTTTTGATGCGTCTGAGTAATTATTTCTACCGTATAAAAATACAGATAAAAAAAACGACTTTGGCGACTTTCTGATAATCTCCATGATAATTATTAGATTCGTTTCTTTTTTTGCACAAAAAAAACCGAATTCTCTCCACCAAGGCTGCGTTCGAAAACGTCACACGAGTATACTCCCTTCTCTTTCTATCCCAGCGAGTTAGAAGGAGAAGGGAGTATACCCGCGTATACCTGGGTGACGTTTCCGAACGCAGCCCAGGAGGGAGAGAGCTCGGAGTTCGGAGACGTTCGTCTCTCGGCGAACCCTAACCTCTCCCTTTTCGCGACGATAGCAGAGGTACATTGGCGATTTACGTGAATCCCTTTGGAACGACTTACCGATAATGGGCCGATTGTTCGATTCTGCTTCAGTCCTCTCGACTGTAAAGACAAACGCCGTAAGTAGAATCGGCAACAGAACGCTCATCGTAAAACACATGATAAGAAATGATAAGAAAATCCTAGACATTTTCTCTCTAGCGACACTATCGAGGAGAAGGGAGTGGAGAGGAGTGCGCGCGAGCCTAATCGAATAACGACAAGCTCATCGTGTTAATTAATTCGTGCAAGCGTCGCGTTATCGGCCGTGTGTATTGTAGTGTCGTGCCTTATCGTGCACGCATGTATCAAATCAGCGTAAACTGATATAAACTATGCCAAGTTCATGCCAGTCTATGCCCTACCGAGCTCGCCGAGATAATCTCAATAAAAAAAAAAAAAAAAAAACTTGCCGTGCCGGTCGTGATGCCGCATCGCGGTCGCATCGATCGATCGCGTTTTACTCGTGTCATATCCCAGAGAATTTGATCCAACGAGCGCACGGCATTTGCGACAGGAGTTTCTGAGAATTCTAAGGGCGAGATTCAATTCTAGGGCAGGATATTCACCAGACATCGAAAATAATGGCTTCTTGAAATAAAACCGAGCGAATGTACTCGTAACGAAGTTTCGTAATTATCGCTGATTATCTCTGAACAATTTTCCTTCTTTTCCTTTTTTCACTACACTGCACCGCTGCCATCTGTTTTCCAATAATAACCAGCGTGAGGACAAACCCAAGCTTGTGTGGTAAATTTCAAGAGTATATTATGTTTACGTATTGTTTATACATTATATGTTTACATAACAATTGGAAATTATTAGATACATGATGCTAATATAGAAATATCTTGTTGGTAATATGAAAAAATACCTTTTTTCAGTAAAATAATTTTCTGTATTTCTGTATTAAAAAATGTTATGAAGAGAGATCGTATAAAGGAAATTTAATTAAATACAAATTTAGAAAATTTAAACACTAATTTTTTTGTGAAAAAATTATATCATGCACTGTAGACGGTTTACGTTTAATAAACGTAATCACATTTGTATTTAAGTAATTAAAGTACTTGTAAGATTACAAAACTATTTAAAATATTTATAATAAAATTCTGTCCTGAAATCTAATAGATACTATACAGATCGTCTAAAATAGATTTTTTAGTTAAAAAGAAATTTATGTAATATTGTTTAATGAAAAAAATCTCATTTTAAGATCATTATTTTGAATCGAAAATTTATCGCGTGAGCTTATCAAAATGCGGACTGATTTATTTTTTGGAAACTATCCTATCAGTCCCAGGGTGTCAGAAACAGAAGTGAGACGAGAATGAGTCGTGAAGAATATCATTTTGACGTCAAAATGACGACAAATAACGTCAACTTAATTGCTGCTTGACGAAACAGAGTGGCATTTCGCGAGGTCGGCTATCGGCTGTCGGCGTTTAATGAAGACCGGAACTCGTTCGACCTAAAAAAGATTGAGAGGAGGGAATCGCCTCTAATCGGGGCAAGCAATTTTATAATCGAGAGAAATACCCTCTCTCGGTCATCGCGCGGAGGGACCACCGCTGGCGACGACACGGTACGACCAATTCAAACGATGACGTAAGCTCGTTCCGTCTTCCTCTTTCGCTCTCGTCCATCCTCCCACCCCTCGAGCTCGCGCAGCATCTTTTCGCCCGACGTAGCTGCGTGACGTTCGCTGATCGAGCGAGAAACAGAGAGATGCGATCTCTCCTCTCTCTCTCACGTACGCGCCTACCCCTTTTTCTCCTTTCTTTCTCTCTTTTAACATTTATATCGCGCTCCATCTCTATCTTATCGGCAATCATCTATCTCGGTCGTTTACCGTACCGGTCGCGCTGTAGCTATCTCCCTCCGACCCTCCCGTATTCTCTCTCGCTCTTACATTTCTCTCGCTATCTCTTTCTATTCCACAAATATACTCCACGTAGAACATACAGTTCTCTCTTTTTCCCTCTCTCTCTCTCTCTCTTTCTATTCTCTCCCTCTCGTTTCCTTTCTTTGAAAAGCGGCTCTCATGCAGAACTCTCTTGCTCTTATCACTCCCACCAATTCTCGATCGCCTTATCGCTGTCTTTGTTCTTTTCGAGACTCAAAGTGGCATATCTCTCTTTCTATCTCTATCTCTTTTTCTCTTCTCTCTCTTTCGACGAGTGTCTCTCTCTCGCGCGATTGGGTAGTTTATCTCCGTTCAATGCTTTCTCTCTCTCTCTCTCTCTCTCGCAGTTCGATCGTTCGTTTCCGTCCGACTCGGCCCGGCCGTTCCTCTGTCCCCTCCCACGCTCCCGTGTACGCGGCGCGCAGTGCGCGCGCGCCCCACGAGGAAGCCCGAAGTGCGGCGCCGCGAGCCGAACGAACACGTCCGTTCAAGTTTCAGCAAGTTTCAGTCAAGTGAAGTCAGTCACGAATCTCGCGTCGGTCGTTACGGGTTTCTCTTCCGTGGCGCGTTCCTTCGCCGTCCGTTCTCCGCTCGATCGGGGACCCATGGAGAGCCGTGGG